CAAAATGACAAGTAAAAATCCAATAAAATGTGGATTTATCACTATCTTTTGAACGACTGGATGGCATTACAGAGGCACAACTGTAGGTATTGGAGGTTTGGTCTAAAGTAGACCTTCGGGGTGTGGCCAAAGGGGGAAAATCTGACCTAAGTGGCATAGTCAGCTAAGATTCCTGTAGCCGGGTCGTTACCCAACTTGCAAGACCTTAGCCAAACCCGATAAGAGCTCTTCATCCTAAGGTCGTAGAGGTCCATTCCTGAACGTGACTATGGCACTACACATCGACTGATGTGCTACTATATCTATTTCTATCTCTAATCTCACTATGTAGAGTAAGGAATGGAGTCCTCCAATCGCCATACAACTTGAATTTATCTATCTATCTATTTCTATGCTAAAAGCTGGGCAAGACGCCAGTCATAGAGGAATGGGATCCTGATGAGGACATGACCATGAGCAAGGGCAAGGATCCTCTTGAAGGACTTGGAGGACCTATGACAAGGGCTAGAGCAAGGAAAGCAAAAGAAGCTCTTCAACAAGTGTTGTCCATATTAATTGAATACAAGCCCAAGTTTCAAGGAGAAAAGACCAAGGTTGTGAATTGCATCATGGCCCAAATGGAGGAGAACTAAGGCGCCACTTTGCTTCAGTTTTTAAGTTTTTAGTTTGTTTTAAATAATGGCCCAATCCTTTATAAAGTTGGCTGACCAAATTATATTTTGTGGTTAATCAACTAATGGGCTTTGGTTTGGTTTTATTTCAAGTTGTAATAAGGGCCCAATTGGCAACTTAGGCATCAGCCTTTGGAAGACCAAGAGGCGCATAGCTAGTGGCTATTGGGTGACTTTTTGGTTGCCACAATTTCAGTTACAATCAGCCTTTGGAAGACCAAGAGGCGCATAGTGGCTGTTGGGTGACTTTTTGGTTGCCATAATTTCAGTTACAATCAGCCATCAAGTAGTTTCATTTTCCGTTACGGAACCTTTGTAATTCTGATGGTAAAGCTTCTATATAAGCTGAACCATTCTTATCAATAAGACAAGTTAAGTTTGATTCAGAAATATTAGAGTTTATCTCTTTTATCTTAGTGAGAGTGATTCTCCTAAGTTCTTGAGTGATTCAAGAACACCTTGGCTGTATCAAAGGGCTTTCACATCCCTTTGTGTGTTGCCTTCCTTGGAAAGAGTGATTCTTTCCTTCCCCCATTCAATTCTTCACCAAAGTTCCAAAAAACTCAAATCTGCCCAGAATTATCTCGTTATCATAACTCTCGTTCTACTCAGCCAAATTGAGTGATTCTTGAGCCTAAATTGAATTTCAGAACGAGAGCTTTCACCTCGTTTTGGAATCACCTCAATTGGAGTTCTATAACTCGAGATACCGTCATTTCTAAAATTCTGTCCAGCCACCACCAAACCAGCGTTTTTGCTTCCTTTTTTCACTTATTTTAACACCATGGACCAACACCTAATTTTCTCAGAAATTCATCACTAAATTTTCAAATTTTTTTTACAAGGTTCTAACCCTAAAGATCCTAAGTCAGCCCTTGTGCAAATGGGGTTCATATCATTTGGTATCAGAGCTCCGGTTTAAGGGTTTGAACGTCAAATTGGTAACATCCTTTCTTCATTCTCTTTTTGCCAATTGATTACCTTATTGTTCATATTATTTGTGATTGTACTGAATCATTGCAAAAGTTAGGCCCTTGTGAAAATTCAAAAAAAAAAAAAATCGTATAAAAAAGCAAAAAAAAAAAAAGAAGAAAATTTTGGGCTGAATGATTCATGCTTTTCAACAATTTGTTATAAGGTAATATATTGGTGTTCTTAAAGGATTGTTGCTAATTCTCTTGTTTACCAATTTTCCTTTACCCCTTTGTTTTTGTGATTTGTTAGCCTTTTCTTTGTCTACTAGCCTTACCTTGCACATAGTGGTGGATTGTTCTTTGTTGTGGCCATAATATCTTGAATTGCCTAAGAACCCAAGGAGAATTTGAGTGGTAAAAGGCAAGAGTGTTTTCATTAGAGAAAAAGCCATAATTGTGTGATACAGTTGAGTGTGGTGAGGTTTCAAATTCTACTTTCTATTTGCTTGTTACGTTTGAATTTGTTTGTTTGTGATGGCTGAAGGAAATCCTAATCAAGGAGGAGGACTTTCTCCTTTCCAAATGCAAGCCTTGACACAACATTTGGAGAGATTGATGAGGCAACAAAATGATGAGCTCCATGAAAGATTGGACCAATTGGAGAATAGAGGTCATGTGAAGAAGAAAGGAAGAGAAGAGGTAATGACGGTGCTCCTAGACAAAACCGAATTGATGGAGTCAAAATTTCTATTCCTCAATTCAAAGGAAGAAGTGACCCGGAAGCTTATTTGGAGTGGGAGATCAAAATAGAGCATATTTTCACTTGTAATACCTATGAAGAGGCCCAAAAGGTAAAGCTTGCAGCTATGGAGTTTTCCGATTACGCTCTTGTGTGGTGGAACAAATTACAAAAAAAGAGAGCTAGGAATGAGGAGCCATTGGTGGATACATGGGTTGAAATGAAAAGGATCATGAGGAAGAGATATGTGCCGGCAAGCTATTCTAGGGACTTAAAATTCAAACTTCAAAAATTGTCCCAAGGTAGCAAAGGCGTTGAGGAGTACTACAAGGAAATGGAGATGCTCATGATTCAAGCCAAGATAGAAGAGGATGAGGAGGTATCTATGGCTAGATTTCTTAGTGGTTTGAATAATGATATTCGTGATATTGTTGAACTGTAGGAATTTGTTGAAATGGAGGACTTGCTTCACAAAGCAATCCAAGTGGAGCAACAATTGAAAAGGAAAGGTGTGGCCAAAAGGAGCTCCACTAATTTTGGTTTTTCTAGTTGGAAGGATAAGGGAAAAGGGGTTGCCACTTCTAGTGCAGCGCCTACACCAACAAAAACTCCTCTAAAAACTCAAGAGCAACCCTCTAAAAGGAGTCGGGATGTGAAGTGCTTTAAGTGCCAAGGCTTAGGACACTATGCATATGAGTGCCCTAACAAAAAAACCATGGTTCTTAGAGATGGAGAGTATATAAGTGAGTCTGAAATTGAAGAGGGAGAGGAGAATGAGGACGTGGAGGAGGATGTGGAGAAAACACCAGAGGGAGACTTGTTGATGATAAGGCGGTTACTTGGTAGCCAATTGAAGCCTTTGGAGGAGAGCCAAAGAGAAAACATTTTCCATACTAGATGTTTGATCAATGGTAAACTTTGCATGGTGATCATTGATGGAGGGAGTTGCACCAATGTGGCGAGTGCAAGACTTGTGTCTAAATTGAATTTAGTTACAAAGCCACATCCTAGGCCATATAGGCTTCAATGGCTTAGTGAGGATGGAGAGGTGCAAGTAAGGAAGCAAGTAGAGTTAGATATTTCCATTGGAAGATACAATGATAAGGTGCTTTGTGATGTTGTTCCTATGGAGGCCAACCACTTACTCTTGGGGAGACCATGGCAATTTGATAAAAGAGCCAATCATGATGGTTTCACCAACAAAATCTCATTCATGCACCAAGACAAGAAGATAGTGATCAAACCTTTGAGTCCGCAAGAGGTGTGTGAGGATCAAAGAAAAATGAGAGAAAAGATTGTCCAAGAAAAATCTCATGGTCTTGTAGGAGAAGATCCACACAAGCATTTGATGAAATTCCATGTGGTGTGTTCTACCATGCGACCAGTGGATGTGCCAAAGGACTTCATTAAGATGAAGGCATTTCCATTTTCATTATATGACATAGCCAAGGACTGGTTGTACCTATAGCCAACACCAATCTGTACATGGAGCGACATGAAAAGGCGATTTTTAGAAAAATTCTTCCCTACGTCCAGAACAACAGCAATAAGGAAGGAGATTAGTGGCATTAGACAGCTGCAAGGAGAGAGTTTATATGAGTACTGGGAGAGGTTCAACAAGTTGTGTTCGACCTGCCCAAACCATTAGATAAATGAGCAGCTTTTGATTCAATATTTCTATGAAGGATTGATGCCTATGGAGCGCAGCATGATTGATGCAGCCAGTGGAGGTGCTCTGATGGACAAGACTCCAGTAGCTGCAAGATATTTGATCTCCAACATGGCAGAAAATTCTCAGCAATTCAGTTCCAGAAATCTTACCACTAGAGCTGTATATGAGGCATCCACAAGCAGCGTTGCTACAGTTGATAACCAATGGCTGGAAAACAAGCTTACAGAACTGACTTCTTTGCTGAGGCAATTAGCCATGGGCCAGGCAATTCCATAGATCCAGCAGACGTGTGGCATTTGTGCAGGTGACCATTATACTGATTCTTGCCCTCAGCTGCCCAACCTTCTCATTTGGTAGCAGGCATACACCTTCCTTACCAGAGTCACCAGCAACAACCTCAGCAATATAACCCCTTCTTGCCTACATACAATCCAGGGTGGAGAAGTCATCCCAATCTGAGGTATGGTCCACTAGCACCACAGCAACAGCATAAATATGTGTACCAGCAGCAGTCTGCACACCCTTCATACCACCAGCCACAACATCACCCTGTGCAGCAGCAACAACCAAAGTATCTGCCTCCTCCTATGAGACAACAACAGCAGCCTGCACAGCAAAATCAGGCTCAACAACAACCTCCTCCACAGCCCAGCAGTAGTGGACCTTCTTTGGAGGAGTTGATGAGTCAAATGGCCACTCAAAGTCTGCAGTTTCAGCAGAACAGTTCAGCCACCATTTAGGACTTACAAACCCAAATTGGGCAGCTGGCAACTTCAGTGAATAATTTACAACAGCAAGGGTCTGCAGCACTTCCTTCGAAGTCTGTAGTTAATCCGAAAGGTAATGTAAGTGCTATTACTTTAAGAAGTGGCAAGGAACTGACCAATTGTCCAGTGCAAGCTAGTAAAAGTAGTGGAAGTGAAGAGGGAGTCTGAGATAATTTACCACATCACCAGATTCCCCTTCCTTTCCCAACCAGAGTTCCTCCACCAAAGAAAATAGAAATGGACCAAGAGTTGCTGGATACCTTCAAGAAGGTGGAGATTAATATTCCTCTGCTGGATGCCATCAAACAGATTCCTCGATACGCAAAATTCTTGAAGGAGCTCTGTACTTATAAGAGGAACTTAAAGAAGAGGAATGTCCAGCTAGTTTCATCCTTGTCCCAGTCTAGCCTTCCACAGAAATGTGGTGATCCAGGAACTTTCTCCATTCCCTGCACAATTGGAGAGTCCTCTTTTGCTAGTGCCTTGCTGGATTTGGGAGCTTCTATCAATGTTATGCCTTCAGCCATATATAAGATGTTGCATTTGGGAGACTTGAAACCAACCAACATGATTATCCAATTAGCAAACAGAAGCACAGCTCAGCCCTTAGGAGTGCTCGAAGACGTGTTAGTAAAAGTTAATCAATTGATTTTTTCGGCTGATTTTTACATTCTTGATATACAGGATGAGAATTCGACCTTGATTCTGGGTAGATTCTTGATGACTACGAAGACAAAGATTGATGTCCATACTCGCACACTGTGCATGGAGTTTGGAGATGACACAGTTCATTTCAATATCTTTGATGCCATGAGATATCCGGCTGAGAGCCATTTGATGCTTTCCGACTGTTTTGATTTTTCTGTTTTTCTTATTAATGTAGTAGATAGAAATTCTGATTTAGATTTTGATACAGTTCATGTAATCGATTCTGATTTTCATTCTGCTTTTGATTCTAGTATTGATATTGCTGTAGATTCAGATTTTGACTTGTCTCAGTTTTCAGACTTAGATTTAGATGCTTTACCAGGATGCACCTGTGATAGTGGCATTTGTTCCATGTGTGCTGAGATTAATACTGCCATATCTTCTGCTGTTTTGCCTTCCATTGCAGATCCAGATTCTGTGATATCCATGGCTGCTATAGCCCCACGGTCTCCGTTATCAGTTATAGAGCAGCAGCCCAGTTCATTGGAGTTGAGCCCTCTGCCAAATCACCTTAAATATGCTTATCTGGATGCAGAGCAGTAGAGGTTTCCGGTAATTATATCCAGTAGCCTTCTGGAGGATCAAGAAGAGAAGTTGCTACAAGTCTTGAGGGTGCACAAGAAAGCCATCGGTTGGAGCTTGAGTGACATTCCTGGGATCAGTCCAGCTGTATGCATGCACAGGATTCACTTGGAGGATGAGTCTAGGCCAGTGAGGCAGCCCCAAAGAAGACTCAATCCTAACATTCTGGATGTAGTGAAGAAGGAGGTGACCAAGCTACTGATGGCTGGGATCATCTACCCCATTTCTGACAGTACATGGGTGTCACCTGTCCAAGTGGTACCTAAGAACTCTGGGATTACTGTGGTGCAGAACCAGGAGAATGAGATGGTTGCCACCAGAGTCACCAACAAATGGAGAGTGTGTATTGACTATAAGCGACTCAACCAGGCTACTCGAAACGACCACTTCCCTCTCTCATTCATTGATCAGGTTATTAAGAGGTTAGCAGGTAAATCCCATTATTGTTTCCTGGATGGTTTCTCTGGCTACATGCAGATTCATATTGCTCCTGAGGACCAGCACAAGACCACTTTCACCTGTCCTTTCGGCACTTTTGCCTATAAAAGGATGCCATTCGGCCTATGCAATGCACCTGCCACTTTTCAGAGGTGTATGTTAAGTGTTTTTTCTGATTTAATTGATAATTGCATAGAGGTGTTTATGGATGATTTTATTGTTTACGGTTCTTCATTTGATTCATGTCTGCATAGCTTAACCATGGTGTTAGAGAGATGTGTTGAAACTAACCTCGTGCTGAATTATGAGAAATGCCATTTTATGGTAAAAAAAAGGTGTAGTTTTAGGACATCTTATTTCTGAGAGGGGAATATAGGTCGATAAGGCGAAAATTGATGTTATTTCCTCTCTATCTTACCCCGCGTCTGTGCGGGAGGTGCGTTCTTTCCTTGGACATGCAGGTTTTTACAGGCGATTTATCAGAGATTTCAGTACCATTGCACTGCCGCTGTCCAGTCTTCTGCAGAAAGATGTACCATTCTTATTCTCTGATTCATGTAAGGAGGCTTTTGAGGAGTTGAGGAGGAGACTCACCACAGCACCTATCATGCAGCCACCAGATTGGGAGCTTCCCTTTGAGTTGATGTGTGATGCCTCTGACTATGCACTTGGAGCTGTTCTATCTCAGAGAGTCGGTAAATTTCCTCATGTTATTGCCTATGCCTCTAGAACTCTCGATGCAGCCCAGATAAATTTCGTTCTTATTTGCTTGGTTCCAAGATAACTGTCTTTACAGATCATGCTGCACTGAAATTCCTACTGAAGAAGCCAGATGCGAAACCTAGATTGATTAGACGGATGCTTCTTCTGCAGGAGTTTGATATAGAGATAAAAGACAAGAGTGGTGTTCTGAATCAGGTTGCTGATCATTTGAGTCGTATTGAAGGGACTATAGACCATTTACCTATTCATGATAGTTTTCCTGATGATTATTTATTTGCTCTGAACTCTATAGACTCTATTCCTTGGTTTGCTGATATTGTGAATTATTTGGTTACTTCTGTTGTACCTCCTGATGCATCTAGATCCCAGATTGATAAATTGAAAAGTAATGCTAAATATTATGTCTGGGATGATCCATATCTGTGGAAATTTTGTAATGATCAGGTCATCCGTCGATGTGTTCTTGACCACGAATTTCAGGACATTCTGTATTTTTGTCATGGCACATATGTAGGAGGCCATTTTGGACCGCAGAGGACCGCCAGGAGAGTTTTGGACAGCAGATTCTATTGGGCTACCATTTTCCGAGATGCAGCCAGATTTTCTGAAAGCTGTGAGATATGCCAGAAGGCGGGAGGGACTATTACTAGGAGACATGAGATGCCTCAGCAGCCCATTATTTTCTGTGAGATCTTTGATGTTTGGGGCATCGATTTTATGGGTCTTTTTCCTGTTTCTGCTGGATACTCTTACATATTACTTGTTGTTGACTATGTGTCTAGATGGGTGGAGGCAAAGGCCACTAGAACTAATGATTCTAAAGTTGTTTCGGATTTTCTCCGTACTCATATTTTTTACAGGTTCGGTGTGCCTAAGGCTGTCATCAGTGACCAGGGAAGTCATTTCTGTAACAGGACCATTGCAGCCTTGTTCCAGAAGTTTGGGGTCACACACAGAGTTGCTACACCATATCATCCCCAAACTAATGGGCAAGCTGAGGTATTCAACAGGGAAGTCAAGCACCTGTTGCAGAAATTAGTGCACCCGAATAGGAAAGATTGGAGTAAGTTTCTGGATGATGCTCTCTGGGCTCAGAGGACAGCTTATCGGACACCATTAGGCATGTCTCCATTTCGAGTGGTGTTTGGTAAAGCATGCCACCTTACGGTAGAAATTGAGCATCGATCATATTGGGCTGTAAAGAGTTGTAACATAGCACTTGAGCAGGCCGGAATTGAAAGGAAGCTCCAGCTTCAGGAGCTTGATGAAATACGCCTGCAAGCCTATGAGAAATCTAGATTGTATAAAGAGAAAGTTAGGAGATTTCATGATACACATATTCTAAGGAAAGAGTTCTCTGTAGGCCAGAAAGTGTTATTGTTTAACTCTCGATTGAAATTGATTGCAGGTAAGCTTCGGTCTAGATGGGATGGACCTTTTGTGATTACTCATGTTTTTTCCCCATGGTGCAGTTGAGATTCAGGATGAAGCTACCAGTAGGACTTTTAAAGTCAATGGTCATCAGCTGAAATTATTCCAGGAGAGTAGACTACTGGAGCCGGCTCAAAACATAGTTGATCTATCCTTAGTGGAGCCTACTTTGATGGAGGATGTGTCTTCTTAGGCACTTGGAGTTTGGAGCATTGTGTTCTTTGATCTTTGTTTCTTTTCCTTATAGTTTCCTTTACTTTCTCATATTTAGTTTTCATTCTATTCTTGGATTGTTTGCATGTTTTGTATTTTATATTTCCTTTTCCCACATTGTGGACAATGTGTGTTTTAAGTGTGGGGGGAGGGAGTAGTCCTTAGCATATTTTTCATTGGATTCCTTTGCTTTTAGAGACTTCATTCTTGTGAGCATCTTTTCATTTGCCATTCTTAGTTGGAAGTTTCATAACTTCATAGTTGTGTTTCTTGCATTTTGAGTTTAGCTAGTTTTTCATGATGATTAGGTTGTGGATCATTAATTGGTAGAATGCATGCCTTAGTGAGATTTTAGCTTATCTTCTTTCTTGTGTGATTCACTCATGTTTGTAGGTATTTTTGAGCTTGAATTGACTCTTTTTGATGTCATCTATTCACATGCACTTTTGATATGATTTAGGCCTTCTTTTGATTTTAGCCACTTGGCCAAATTGACTTACCTTGCATGTATTCCATTGGTTATCCCCTTTGAGCCTTATTGACCTTTTTCCTGATGATTTTGCAGCTTATTACAAGCCATGTAACTTGAAAAACCATGATGTGCCCAACCTTTGGGAATAGATGAGCTTTGGAATTGTTTTGGGAAATAGTTAAAAACAAGTGTGGGGGTGTTTTGTACATATTGCTTTGAGCATATTTTGATGCATTGTAGGTTGATGTTGTTTGCAATCTAACACTAGCAAGTGCACTAGGATTGCAGCAAGTGATGAGTAATTTTAAGATCAGAATATCGTCGCCACAAGGAATTTAGGTTTCAAGTACCACTTCACAAAATTATAACCATTTGAGCCATACGAATTTTGGAATGAGATTTGTAACATATAACAGCAGTAAACCAAAGCAATTAAAGCAAAGAACTTGCAGAAAAATAGAGTATAAGATTTGTGATGAAATGAAATAGCAATGAAGGATAGTTAGGAATTTACTTCACAAGAATATCAATATCAATCCAATTAAATCCTCTGAACATTCAAGCAATTGAATAATTGACAATCAGTTTCACATATACCTAGCCAAAGGTTAATTCCTTAACTCATTGACCCTAACAATCCACTAAACCTCCCTAATCCCTTAGGTGAGATTCAATTTCAGGTTGCATTAAGAATTAGAACTATAAGATTGCAGAATTAGGTCTCCTTATCCCTAAGAAATCCCTAAACTCTGGTTGCCAATTCAGATCGGAGCAAACAATCCAATTCCCATTGGTAAAGATTCCTCTTGATTAATCAAATGAATTTCCATTCAAAGATTACATGAAAAGCAAAATTAACAACTCAATTAATCCAAGAACTTAAAGTTCAGAAGATAAAGTCGAATCAATACATCAATTCGAGTTCCATAAACCCCTAACTCTGGGAAATTAAGCACACATTGCAACAAAAACAGAGAAAGAAGAAGAAGAAGATGAAGACGAATGCAGAGCAGCCATGGCCACGAGCTCCAATCCAATCCCTCTTCTTGGAGCTTCAAGCTTCGACCCCAATCTTCTCTCCACTCTCTCTCAACGAGAATCTAACTAACAAAACAGAAAATGAGCAAAAAGACCCCAGTTTCGTGCTTCAAACATGTATTTATAGAAACCCCAGTTCTGCGCGTTGTCACTTTTCTTCACAAGAGTAACCACGCAGAAGCTTTATGTAGTGCGCGTGTTCACTTTCAAGAGCAAAAGTAACCACGCGCAACTTGCAGAGTTGAAGGCTTCTCTGAAACATTCACTTTAATTCATAAAAGTGGCAACGCAGGAGGTTGAGGGCTGCGCGTGATCACTTTCGTGAGTAATAGTAATCACGCGCAAGCTGTCCTGATACAAGTGCCTCTGGAACGCTCACTTTCGTTGGCGAAAGTGACAACGCGCAGCTCATCAGGAATGAAGTCTCTCTAGAACGTTCACTTTCGTTGGCGAAAGTGATAACGCACACTGGCAACGCTTACTCTTGTAAATAAAAGTGATTACGCACAGACTTCTCTTCTCATTTAGGCTCTGGAATGATCACTTTCACTAACAATAGTAATCACGCCCAGCCTGCATCCCATAATTCTTGTATTTTGGAGTCCAACATTGCCATTCTTCCTCTTCCTTTCCATTGATAATCCAT